GTATCATAGATTTAGCACATTTAGAATGGGGTCGGTTGACCCATTCTAAAAATGCTAAATCTATTACAAAATGTGCTAGATTTTTGGTCCGTCCGTCTATCAAACTTAGCATTTCTATAATATCGGGAATCACTCATTTAAAGCACGCGTTTATCTTCGGTTCCGAACCGTTGTGTGAAGAAGTTTTTGTTTATGGGCTATTATAGTTTGATCACATTCTTGGGTTCGGTTCACTATGATGACAGTTCTCGGGTTCGGTTCTCACATAGGTACTCGTACGTACAGTAGATCGGACCGAAGATTTATGGTGGATTCATTTTGTTTCACACCGATCCGCGTCTCCCCCAGTGTCACGAACCACCATGAGGCGTTACATCATCGTGCAGTACCAACATATCATAAGTATATTATGAATGTCGAGTACCGTACGGTACCGTACCATACTCCGGCAGTTGTACAGCAAGGGCGCAACAACATCATTTCATCTACAGTACCTGGCACGTGGTGTACGATACTTTAGTTGGACCGTGTCAACAGGATTCTAGTTGGAAACTCGTAAGTATCTTTGACAAATATTTTTTCTCAGAATCAACAGCAGAGAATACCGCTAAAGTTTAGTAGAGGTGCTCGTAACTCGTACCGTTGACCGTTACGTATGAACGTATGTAGAATATGAATAGTAACATACCTTAATGGGTAGGAACATACCTACGTACCGGTATGTATGAGCTCACTTCGTACATGCTGTTAATGGTTACTCTAACCTTAATTAATTAACCGTCTGAAAGTTGAATGTATTGTACTTGTACAGTACAGTACCGTACGTAGGACACGTATGTATCGTACTTCTAAGCTTCATTTCAAAGTTTGAGATCCTTCGTGAAAATTGAAAATCCCCTCTGCCCGATGCAGTTTTTAGTTTTTGTTTTCCTTTCGTTTTGATCCAGCATTTCGATGAGAAGATTTCTATCGGTCCCGGCATTGTTTGGTGCTAGTACGAACAGCAGTACGTACCCAATCCAAGCCTAAGCCCAAGCCAACCGCGCACCCGCACCGATCTCGTTCCTTGCGGAACCACCCCGGCGATCGCGGATGAGGATGCCCAATGCGGCGACGGCCACCACGGCGGCGTGCAGGGTTTGGGCCCGCCGTTCGTCGTTGTCGTCGTCGTTGTCGTCGGATCCCCCGTGGTTTGACCCCTGCCGCTTTGGGACGTCGGTGTACGACACGGTTGCGTCGCACCGCCTCGGCCGGGTGGGGAATTCCACCGACGCATCGACACCGAGGGGAAGGAGGCGGCACTGCGACCGGATGCTGGTCGACCTCGGGGAGGCGGAACGAGCGGGGNCAGAGGCACGGGACCGGGCAGGCCTTTTCGCCGCATTTTCCCGGCTCGAAGCAGCAGCAGCCGCCGTAGAAGCCCTGGCAGCACTTGTAGTCGTCCCACCCGCTGTTGGGGTTGACGTGGTTCAAGACCTTTTTGCGCATGACCATCTGGCTGCAAAAGCAGCAGAGCATGGTCCCGCACCAGCAGCCCGGTTCCTTGCAGGGTGTCTCGCACAGGGAGATCTGGAATTTTTCCTCGTTGTCCTTGTACGGAGCAAGGTTTTTGGCGTGCTTTCCTTTTGTTAATTCATCGTCGCTGAGCGGTTTTGCGGAGAAACAAAGCAGGCACGACATGGTGGGGGATACGTCTCGGTGGTTGGATTTGTCGGTAAGATGCGAAGAAAAAARCTATGGGGAAAGATTTTTTATGGCAGTGACCGGGTGCAGAATCTCGGCAAAAAGATAGGTTTGGCGTTCTTGGTGCAGTTCCCGAATCGTCGTGGACTCTAAAGATCACTTCGCGGTTTGATGATTTCGTTGTAGTCTATTAAGTATCGTCGAATGATAGCTTCGGCAGGTCCGTCCCAGAGCAAGAGATTGGCTGAACGATGCCAGAAGCAATTGTTGATTTCGTTGTAGTCTATTAAGTATCCTCGAATGATAAAATTCTTGACATTTGTTTCAAAGTGTCAAGACGATTATGACGAAAATCTAGCTTCGGCAGGTCCGTCCCAGAGCAAGAGATTGGCTGAACGATGCCAGAAGCAACTGTTGAGAACCCTGGGGAAGAGCGACGATGTGACAATGTACGGTAGTCTCTTAATAGGCCTCTGAAAGGTACGATTTTTTCGTTCGACGAAAAGGTCTAGAACGTTCTCGAAATTCTAGAAACAGGTGTTGGAGATCAGACACGAAGCCTGATAAGTAAGCATTTTGGGGGCGGTGTCAGAAGAAAGATAATATTTAATATTCACTTCTAGAACTAAGTACGTACGTACCGTACATTGGTAGTTGTACAGCAAGAGCGCAACAACGTCATTTCATTGACCTGGCACGTGGTGTACGATAGTTGGACCGTGTCAATAGGATTCTAGTTGGAAACTCGTAAGTATCTTTGACAAATATTTTTTCTCAGAATCAACAGCAGAGAATATGTACCGCTACAGTTTAGTAGAAGTGCTCGTAACTCGTACCGTTGACCGTTACATATGAACGTATGTAGAATATGAATAGTAAAATACCTTAATGGGTAGGAACATACCTACGTACCGGTATGTATGAGCTCACTTCGTACATGCTGTTACTCTAACCTTAATGAACCATCTGAAAGTATTGTACTTGTACAGTACAGTACCGTACGTAGGACACGTATGTATCGTACTTCTAAGCTTCATTTCAAAGTTTGAGATCCTGAGTGAAAATCCCCTTTGTCCGATGCAGTTTTTGTTTCCCTTTCGTTTTGATCCAGCATTTCGATGAGAAGATTTCTCTCTGTCCCGGCATTGTTTGGTGCTAGTACGAACAGCAGTACGTACCCAGTCTAGCCCAAGCCCAAGCCCAAGCCAAGCCAACCGCGCACCCGCACCGATCTCACCCCGGCGATCGCGGATGAGGATGCCCAATGCGGCGACGGCCACCACGGCGGCGTGCAGGGTTTGGGCCCGCCGTTCGTCGTTGTCGTTGTCGTCGGATCCCCCGTGGTTTGACCCCTGCCGCTTCGGGACGTCGGTGTACGACACGGTTGCGTCGCACCGCCTCGGCTGGGTGGGGAATTCCACCGACGCATCGACACCGAGGGGAAGGAGGCGGCACTGCGACCGGATGCTGGTCGACCTCGGGGAGGCGGAACGAGCGGGGGTCTTCCTGTCGCCATCCGAGAGCGGCGCTGCAGAAGCAGCAAAAACAGCAGCAGATACAAAAACAGCAACAGATACAAATACAGAAACAMCAGCGCCGCGCACGCACCGAGGGATCCCCTTTGGCAGGGCAAGGGACTGCCCGACCCTGACGCCGCGTGCCCGAGACGACGCACGCCTCGATCGCCGACGGCGTCCGYTTGTTCGCTTGGCCGTCGTGGGGATGGTGGTCGGCGACGAAACCRGMAAAAAYAGCAACKRCGACGACAACGAYGGCGTCTTGCTCCTCACGAGGCGGCCCCGCTACATGCGTTCCTTTCCCGGTGCCTTTGTCTTTCCGGGAGGAAACATCGACGAGGGAGAGTCCCTCGYGGAGGCCGTCTCGCGGGAAATMGAGGAAGAAACCGGCCTGGCCATCGCRAGCGATTCCTGGGAGCTGGAGTGCCTGTGGGAATCGATCTACCCCACCGAGCTCCCGGAGGAAGACGACGAAAGCCGCGAGCGCGGAAGCAGCGACGGGGCGATCCGTGCCCACCACCTCGTGTGCTATTTTTCGAGCAAGCTGGCGCAGAGGGAACACGAAAAGCAGCGATTGCGGCTCTGCCGGGAAGAAGTGGACGGAGCCGTTTGGTTGTCCCGCTGCGACATCGAGCGCCTGCTGGAAGCCGAACACGGTGCCGGTGCGAATGCCCACCAAAGCCCCGGCGTCCTCGACGAGCTCCAAAAGATCGATCTTGCGCTGCACACTCCTTCCGTTGCTACCGGCGAGAACGACGAAAGAACAACAACMACAAYACAGGAAAGCAACCCTACGAGCGTGATTCCGCTATCGGATCTAGCAGGAATCTACCCCCGCCGCGACGACACAGAGGATCGGTGGTGTGGCATGGCTCAGGGAAGCCTCTTCGCCCTCGAAGAATTCGTCGAGAAGCATTACTCTTCCTAGTGGAACTAAAAACGATTTTGAAAAGGAGTACTTTTCCTTTCACATAATGACATACAAGGACACACACACACATACACACACATACAAACATACATACAAATAATACTAGGTTGTATGCTGGATTGAAGGTTCGATCGAACAATCGGTTGAAGTGAACGTCGAACTATCGTATTGTACGTTTAGCGGGATTGCCTTCGAATACCACACCTTCTTTCGACGCTGGATCACGCCACCAGCGGACGCCCAAAGCTGGTGCAGTGCTCTTCCTGGACCAGGGAGGCCAGAAGCTTGCGGGTTCCCTCGGGGCCCTTCCACGGACGCCGCGCGTGCATCATCAGGTAGTTGCTCAGGAGGACGACGTCGCCTTTTTGCCAGCGGACGTCGATCGCGAGCTCCTCGCAGATTTCCTTGGCCTCGAGCAAAACCTCCAGCGAGACGGGATCGCCGTTCCCGAAGCGGACGCACTCGTCGATCCCCTCCTGGGTGGGGACGTCGACCAGTGGATCGTATCCGTTCCGGTGGGTCTGGTCCCCGCCGCCTTTCCTGCCGAACTCCAGCGCGTTGGCGGTGGTGGCAATCAGCTGGTTGAAAAAGCATTTCCGGCCGCTGTTCCCCACCTTCTTCACGGCCTCCAGGACGGGGGTGGTGCACTTCAGAAAGTCGCTTCCGACGGAAGCGCTCGCGTTCGAAGGGCCGACCCCCCATTCCCAGGTCCACCCGCCGAGACCCATTTTCCTCTCGCATTCCTCCCTGGTGCTCGCGTGAAAGAAGGACTTCCAGGACCTCCCCGCCCCCTTGCTCGGGTCCTGCCTGGGACCCGCAAACACGGTGTAGCGGACCCCTTCGGCCTCGAGCTTGCTGCAAAAGCCGGGGTGCCTCCTTCGCAGCTCGTCGTACACCAGGGGGCTCGAGACGATCCCCGTTTCCCCCCCGTCCCCCGGCCGGGCGGGCAGCTGGCAGCAAAAAAAGACGTGGCTGGGCCAAAGGGGCGTCTGGGCCTGTTCGTGGTGAAAGACCAGACCGCCCGACTTGCCCTCGTTGGTGGTACAGATCCGGTGCGCCAGCTTGGTCCGGACGGCGAAGGACATGCTCTTCTCGTAGGACAGGTCGGTGTACCCGTCGAAGGCTTCGACAAACGCGTTGAAGTCGTCCGGCGTCTCMAGTGGGAATCCGCGAAACAACACAGCTCCGCGTTCCTCTAGCATTTGGTCGATGGCGGTGCGGTGGTTCCGAACAAAGCGTGCGGCRTCTTCCGGTGTTTCGATTCGGACGGTGGCATCGCCATTGTCCTTCCGGAGTGACGGCGACAGAACAAAGGGAACCTGGAGCCCATCCTCGAAGGTGTGTTGTTCCGGTGCATCCGTTACGATACAGGAATCGAATGACGGTAGACTGAGAGTAGTAGTGGTGGTAGCAGTTGTTGTCGAACCCATTGTTGTGTCGATAATGATGCTCTGAATTATGATAACGATGACAATTGCGTGAACGAGAACGCAAGATACTAGTGCGTTTCGTGCAATAGAGAATGCCCAAACTTTGTAGAAGATAGGTGCCTCTGAAAACGGCCAATGCGTCGTCGTCAGCGAATGCCTACCTTATAGTTCGAATGCCCTCGCACGAAAGGTGTCAAGTGTTYGTGACGTTCATCCTTTCTTGCTAGAGCGAGTCTTCAGAATCTTTTTCCGATTTAAGAGGGGAAGATGCTCGAAAGATGCTCACACAGAAGATCATGATCCAAAAAATCGCTTCATTTTGCCGTGACTGACATCTTCGGGATGAAAAGGTGTCACGATGATGTGTCAAATTTTAAACTTCCCAAACATTCAGTCGTGACGTGATATTCGTCTTGCCATGATCCGTATGACGGTTTGAGAATACTGTTCTGTACTCTGGTTATACTGAAAACATAAATGCATCCCCAATGATAGCAAATGTAGTACTAGTAGTACAATCCAACTTAATGAGCAAATACAGTTATTAGTAAATTATTAGTAAATAAATTGAATGGCGTTGGTGCTGGTGCTGGTGCTGGTGCTGGTGCTGGTGCTGGTGCTGGTGCTGGTGCTGGTGCTGGTGCTGGTGCTGGTGCTGGTGCTGGTGCTGGTACGGGTACGGGTACGGGTACGGGTACGGGTACGGGTACGGGTACGGGTACGGGTACGGGTACGGGTACGGGTACGGGTACGGGTACGGGTACGGGT